TCACTCTCATAATAATAATAACAATAACAATAATAATAATGATAATAATAATAATAATAATGGAACACCAACTATGCTCAGGTATTAGGGTGGATTAGGACTCATCTAACTTTCTCAACTTTGAGAGCCACAATCTTATGTCTTAGGGGCACACGTACCAAATGGAGGTCAATGAATATGGCTGACAGTTTCCCCCTTAACATTATTATGCACTAAAATGAACAAATTACTATTACTTTAATTTTTTCCAACACTATTTCTAGTCCTAAACTACTTTTGTCCTACTTGGTGTATTTTGGTTAGTTTATAATAATAATAATAATAATAATAATATTAAAAATAATAATAATGATAATAATAATAATAATAATAATAATAATAGTATTCCTTTCTCACTCTCAATAATAATAACAACAATATATATACAATAATAATAATAATAATAATATTCCTTTCTCACTCTCATAAAAATAACAATAACAATAATAATAATAATAATAATAATAATAATATTAATAATAAAATAATAATTAATAAATAAAAATAATAAAAATATTCCTTTCTAACTCTCATAAAAATAATAACAATAATAATAATAATAATAATAATAATAATAATAATAGTAAATAAATAAAAATAATAAAAAAATAAAAATAATAATAATAATAAATAATAATAATAATAACAAATAATAATAATGATAATAATAATAATAATAATAATAATAATAATAAAAATAATAATAATAGTAAATAAATAAAAATAATAGAAAAATAAAAATAATAACAATATTCCTTTCTCACTCTCTTAATAATAATACCAATGATAGTAATAAAATAATAAATAATCAATGAAACTAAAAATAATAATAATATTCCTTTCTCACTCTCATAATTATAATAACAATAATAATAATAATAATAATAATAACAAATAATAATAATGATAATAATAATAATAATAATAATAATAATAATAATAATAATAGTAAATAAATAAAAATAATAGAAAAAAAAATTAAAAATAATAATAAATAATAATAATAATAACAATATTCCTTTCTCACTCTCTTAATAATAATACCTATGATAGTAATAAAATAATAAATAATAAATGAAACTAAAAATAATAATA